ATTTCAGAATAATATGGGGGTACAAACTTTCTCTTGAATCAGCACCTGCACAATAAAGTTTCTCTCGAGAATTTTGAATGGTTAGCGCCCTCTAGTGAAATATCAGCTGAGTGCAAAGTCACTGGGCAAAGCAGAAAACACTCAGTGAGAGGGACTAGGATAGGATAGGGAAGGAAAAATTAATAAAAAAATGATAAACGGAGCTTCAGTGTGAATATATGAGAGGAAATCTTCTTGTTGGGGTCGAGTCTCATGAACTCAGCTTGGGGACAACACATGTAGGTGGGCAGGTTGACTTCAGAATGGGCCCTGACTTGGCAAGTGGTGAAGAATTCCTCATGCTCTCCTGGCAGAGATGTGTGCCTATGGGGCTGATGTGTCCCCAGTGCCTACCTTTTTCCAACTGGCACAAATGTGCCGTGGGAGCCAGCACCAGCCGAGTTAGGGTCACTTCCCTCAGACGTCTGCTCTTTTTGTGCAGAGGGGATGTGGCCGTGCAGCGCTGTGGATAACGGCTGGCACAGAGGTACACAGATGTCTGGTTGGTGCTGGCAGACTCCAGAACCAGGGGGAAATACTCCTTCTTCTTCCTGGAGGCACTATACCCCTCAGAGACATCTCCTTTTTCATCATTGTCAACATCATATGAGAAATAAATCAGCCGTAGCCCCAGACCCGGGTCTTGTCGATACCAGAACATTCTTTCATGGTCCATGTCCTGTGAACATTTCAGCAAAACCTTCTCTCCTGTCCTTTTGACCAGATGTCTCGGAGTCTGGGTTACCTTTGTTTCCACGAGGCCTGTGAGAGAAGGATTAGAGCAAGTGAACAAACAGGCCACCAGGAAGACTGAGGGGGAAAGGTCCTGTATCCAAGGCTTGGCAATAACAGGACAGGGTTTGCCACCAACTCCTCGACCCATCAACTCTCTGCACCCACCTACTCCCAGGACTCACCTGCTCTCAGGAGACAAAAGGCCACGCCACAAAGCAGCCTGATTCCCATGGCAGTTTTGAAGAAAGAATGAGAGTTCTTCCACCACCAGGCTGTAGGTTGACTGTCTATGATGTCATTGTCCCTGCCCACACTCATGCACTCATGGTCCTTCAGCCATTGTCTAGACTAGAGAGAGTCTAGAGGTGCTAGACAGTAAAGGGCCCCCTTTTCCTCACGAGAGTGTCAGTGCGTGTGTGTGTGTGTGTGTGTGTGTGTGTGCGCGTGTGTATAGGAAAGAATTAACCCTGCAGGCCGGGGACTGCTATTCACAGAAGAGCCTGCTTGCACAGCTGGGCCTTGGTCTTGCATCTGGGAACTTGAATTTCAGGAGTGTCCCCACCACTTAGTAACCGGTAAGTGTGGCTCAGTGCACCTAGACTACTTGCATCGACAGTGTGGTGTATGCCACACACCTGCTCTGCTTCTTTGAGTCTGGAACGTTGGTGCACGCTAGGTAGAGGGTGCCTGTGTGATCAGCCATATTAGTTTGCTAGGGCTGACAAAAGTCACCACAGACTAGATGGCTTCAACAACAGAAATTTGTTTTCTCGCAATCCTGGAGGCTAGACGTTTGAGATTGAGGTGTCCACAGGGTTGATTTCTTCTGCGGCCTCTCTCCTGGGGTTGCTGACGGCTGTCTTCTCCCTGTGTCTCCATATCATTTTCCCTCTGTGCATGTTTGTGTCCTCACTCCCTCTTCTTACAAGGACACCGGTAATATTGGTAAAGGGCCCACTCAATGCCTTCATTAACCTTTATCACCTCGTTAAAGACCTTATCTCCAGATATAGTTATTAATACATTCTGAGATACTGGAGGTTAGGACTTCAACATATGAATGTTTAGGGACATGGGTCAGCCCATAACACCAGCCATCAAAAGTATCTGTGCTGCCGAGTCTCTAATGGGCTTCCCTGGGTAGAAATATTGCTCCCACGTTGCTGCATCGTCACTGCTGGGGTGAGAGTGTGCTTCCCCACAGGAGGCTGAGAACACAGGGCAGAGACACGTGGATTTCTCCAAACTCCACCTGTGTCGTTCCTGCTTGTGCTCGTAGCATCCTTACTACGTCTCTGTGACACACACATCTCAGCTGTGAGTACCTTGAGTCCTTCTAGGGAGTCTCTGAAAGTGGAGATAATTTTTTCCTGATCAACTCTGATTAGGAAAAAGTTACCAATCCTTCCTTTCTCCCCTCTCCCTTTCTCTCTCATACATTTCCTTCCCAGCACTTGTAGTTTTTCATTCAACGTATTTAATTTAATAATAATAATTACTACAAGTAGTGTGCTGGCTAGAAGGACAGGCTTTGGAGCTGTGCTGCCTGGGTCTGAAATCTGGCTCTTTTACTTACTACCTGTGACCATGGGCAAGTGCTGGGCCTCAGTGTTCTTACATGGAAAGTGTGGACCTCGCAGAGTTACCGTAAAAAGGCAAGTTGGTACGCCTAACTTGGTCACAGCCATGCATGGCTCAATAAAGGTAGCCGTGAAAAGCATCGATGTTTGTTACTACTACTATCATCTATTGAATACTAATTTTGTGTAAGCCAGTATGTTAGAATTCTTTATAATGTAAGAGTTCTTTTATTTTAGCATCCTTATATTACACTTTGGGGTCTTTGTCGTTTTAGATTTGCCTTCCAAACCACTTCTGTAGGAATTGTTTTTCAATGAATTCTAATTCTAATTGTTTTTCAATGAATTACGTGTAGTTTTAATTTTGTAATTAAAACTACACTTAATATGCCCTCTTCAGCCACAAGGGACATTAAACTCTGGTCATTACCATGTGTCCTGTGCCATCTCTGTAGATTCCTTCGCTCAGCCTCACAATACTTTTATAATAGATACTTCACCCAAGGCTTTGCTGATCTACTAGGAAAGAAAAGCTACAAACTTCCAGGTAATTCTAACATTAGCAATCGATTCTTTTCTCCTACATTCCAGATGAATCTCTTAACCAGAAGCGGGTAGAAGAAATATGTCTGACTCTGTGTTCTGGGTCAAATTCTATCTTTCTCTTATGCTACTTCTGTTTTTGAAATGATTTGCTTTAGCCGTTAGGTTTTATTGAAATGATTTGCTTTAGCTGAGGTTTTATTGAATTCAAGCCGTTCCCTGCCACATTGAGCACACCCTTGCATCCAGGTTGGTATTGCAGTGTCACCAGGCCCTTGGTCCTCCTTTTGCAAGTGTCTGTCCTTAAATACGAATAGGAATTAGTGTACTGAAAATATTTAGTTTTGGATATTTCTGTTCTAATTGTTGCTGGTTTGCCTCCACAGAATTAGAAACTTGGAGGTGATTATCCCAGTGGGCAACAGGCTAAGTCCTTTTAGAAAACATCCCTCTTTCCCATGCTGCTGCCCTGGTGGCGATGCCAGAAATGGCACAGTGCCCCCATGTGCAGGTTCACCTGCTGGGGTGGTGGAGACAGTGCTGTCCCAACAGTGGGATTGTGGGCATGGCCAGGCCTAGGTACAAGCAAGAGAGAGTGTACTATCTGCAGAGAATTTATAAAGGACAATAATACCCAATTAAAATTGTTCTGCTTTTATTATCACCATGTGCCAGGAATTCTAAACAATTTTGATGATACAAGACTCCTTCTGTGCAATATTTGTCCTTCTGTCCCTGGCTTATTTCATAAAGTGTAATGTCAAACACATAGAAGCAGAGAATACAATGACGATTTCCAGGGAAGTGAAGTGTTGCTGTTCAACTGGTATAAGGCTTCAGTTACACAAGGTGATTAAATTCTAGAGATCTGCTGTACAACGTTGTGCCTATAGTTAACGGTACTGTATTGTACACATAATATTTTGTTTAAAGGATAGATTTCATGCTAAGTGTTCATACCATGGTAAAAAGAAATCTCACCAGTTCATTTTGCTGCACATTGAGAACCAATCATCAAAACAAAAGGGTCAGATGTCACTGTGATGTTTATACTGTATTTTCAGAAAATTTTTACTTGTGGTTATTTCACTTATATTATTCATTAACATTTCTTAATGATGTACACTTTTTTTTTGAGACACATTTTTTGAAATGTTGCTATGTACAAAACAAACCAGTCATAATCATACAGCAGTTTCTAAGATTTTTTGCAATAATATAAAATAGTCATCATAATGGTTCAGACCATATTCCTTAGTTTTGACATTACTGTAAACGTCTACTATCCTAATCCAGTGGACTTAGCCTTACCATAAATCAAGCATATTGACATAGCTACTCAACACAAAAACCCTTTGAACTTCAGCTCCACTGGCCTATTTGCTTACACAAAGGGTTTTAAATCAATAAATCATTCTTATCTTTATTAAAATAGGTTTTTTCTTTACAAGACATGTAAAGCCTAAAAAGCTTCTGTTGTTGGCAAAATCCATAAATGCATAATATAGTTGGACTTGCTTCAATGAAAGATATTAGACTAAGATTAAAATTGTTCCCTGGCACGCAGACAAATGAAAGGGGAGGGCTGTGGGGCTCTCATGAGGGTCCCTGAATACCCAGCGTGGAAGACAGTTCTCCAGCAGGCGGTGTGCGGGAGCTGGACTGATGTGGGTGAGTTGCAGTAAAAGGCCTGGCATGAGGAAGCCCTGTGGGAACAGCAAGCAAGAAGGAAGGAGAGAGGATGGTGACAGCCCAACCACAGGTGCCGTCCCCCACAGCCACCTGGGGATGGACTCCTACTGACCAGGTCCTCGGAGCTCCAGAGGCCTCAGTGCAGGCCATTGGGAA